GCATCGCCCTCCAAGGTTCATATCAGACAGAAGTGGGCTCTAGGTACCTACCATCGTTTCGTCGACCGCCACCTCTCAGGTGTAGCCGCATCAACCGCAGCCACAGCCAGCATGGTCGTGACCTGATCGACATCACTCCTTCATATCTTCTTTTTGGATCTTCCTTCCAATACACCATCACGCCTTCAACAAAGACGATCGCGACAAAGTTTTACCATTAAACGAAAGCAGTCCCATTCAACTCTCACACTCACATACACACCCTCGTTACAACCATGGAGCAAGAAACGAAAGTCTGGATCATCCTTGGTGCCGTCGTAGGCATCCTCGTTCTGACGGCGGTTGCCGTTGCCCTTCTCTTCTGCTGGAAACGATCTCAAAGAAGGATGCGAGGCTTTTCTCTGCGAGCTGTCACACCATTAGACGATGCCGAATTTGAATCGTGGAGACGGCCCAGCCAATACACCCAACGACCGGAGAAGTACGGCATCCGACCAGCTGTCTTACGCGAACATGTATCACCCAGAGTCACTTCCATGTTCGAGAAAGAGCTTAGCACATACGAGTTCCCTCCAAGGACACCATCATTAACCGACATGGCTTCACTAAAGTCACCCTCCAGCTCAATACGAAAGCCCGAGCGCGTACGGAGGAAGTCCAGTGTCGCTTCGTCTATTGCCGACCGACCCCCAACACCCTATTCTCCGAATTCTCCAAGCGGTGAATTCAACCGTGGCTCCACATCTTCACATCGATCCCAGCCTCTAATACATTACCCATCACCATCAGAAACTTCTGCTTTCCGCTTCAACTTCGAATCAGAGTATGGCACTCAACAAAAGGGCGCTGGACGCTGGATATGAACGCCAGTGTCACTTCAACATTCCAGCCATCTTCGCAACTCGAACATTACGGCTGGCAGTGATCTCTGTAACACCTGCAGCCTGCCGAAAGCACTTGAAGCGACTGGAACACACCTGACAGCTTCTTGCGTCACAACGCACCGCTTGCTGCTGTACAAGCATCGGGGCTGTCGCGATACCAGTCCACACTTCACCTCACGACCTTCGCTTCGCATACATACTTTACGATTGGACATGATTTTGTCATTTGGAGTTCGGCGGCGCTTTGCATCTATGATACCAGACCTTTGAGTCACTACACAGGCCTCGAGCCTCTTTGTTTCTTTTTGTTGGAGGATGAGCCACTCCGTGCCGAAGATCGCACGAGAATGCAATTCAGTAGTATAGCCAACCACGTAGTCGGGTCTGCAGTTGTAGCACTGCGAGAGGCTAGTCCTCTGTACCCATATCAATGAACAAACCCATTAGCACATGATCCTTCACTCTTTGCTGCAGTGATCTCCCTCCCATTGCGCAATACGCCCTGGCCTGCAAGACATCACGCACCACGCATCACGACATCAGCCCAAGCGGCAACTCGGCCCCGACCGTTCCCACCCACGACTGCCGACGCCGACCCCTTAGCCGTGCAAACGCCTCATCTGTGCCTGTGCCAAAGGAAGGAAAAACGTGGTCTTCACCGCCAGTTCCAAGACCCCAGAATGCTGAACTACGCCATCTGAAACTCTGCTCGGCCGCCATCTCCACTCCACTCCACTTCGACTATCGAAAAGCGCTGCGGCACGCGATTCATGCGCGATCGCGCTTCCCGCGCTCGAAAGGTTCACCGCATTATCTCGCTGGGTGAACCCCGCGAGATGGTGAAGGTCGTGATACTGGACTCTTGGGGGCTGAAATGCGAGACGCAGGGTGGTGGAGTAAGGGATCTTCGGTGTCAGTTGCTTTTGCGCACATCATGGGTGGGTTCTGGTAAGGGAGATGCAACTCATCTAAGCGACAAGCTAGATGCCTGCACGGATACTATGATAAGAAGCAAGTAACTTGAAGGTCTACATTACCCTGAGGAACGGGGATTATTGGATTTCGTGTTGTTGCAGACCCCAGTGTGTACTTGCACCTGTTCACTTTCTTCTTCTACGGCTTGCTGCTGCACTGGATGGATGACTAAGCTAAGCGAACCGAGCGGATGACGTGCAGCCAGGATAAGGTGTGTTGAGCTGCACGGCGTGCGTGAAAGCGTTTTAGTGGGTCAACGAACTCAACGTGGACAGCTGTCACCGCAAACCGTGTGGGCAAACAAGCAAATTATCAGCCACACAACAATAACCCCCATCGCGTGCTCGTTTCTCAAGCCCATAATTCGCGTCGCCCCATCTCATCCACCAGCCACTACCCGCGCGCAGATCAGTCGCAAGCGCGAATCTCGTTAATCCGCACCCCACAAACGCGTTCTTTCGCGTCTGGCACACGACATCTACACGTCCAATCGCGAATCGCCCAATATGGAGTTTATACAAGGTACGCTTCGTTGATGCGCCTATCGTCCTATCACGCTATTGCGACACGGGTTGCTAACACCAGATACCAGACTACGCAGCTCTCCTCCCGCGCCTCCTCCCACCGTCCTTCGCAAACCCACTCCTCCACCTCCTCACAACCTTCTTCGGCATCTCGCGCACGCTATCCACACACCTCTCCCCCCTCCTCAACAAACTCATCACCCAACCCGATGTCGCCTCCATCCTCGCGCTGCTCGCCATATTCTTCATCTCGCTCAAGATACTGGACATGATGTACCGGGCCGTCATCTTCTGGGTGAATCTAGCGTTGCGACTGGTGTTCTGGGGCGGGATACTCGTTGTGGGCTTCTGGGTGTATAACAGAGGGCCTGAGGGCTTTGTCGAGGATGTGCAGGGCTTGGGCGAGTACTGGCTGGGTCAGTATGAGGTGTATAGTCAGGAGGTTAAGGGGTTTCAGCAGCAGAAGGAGGATCAGATTAGGATGAAGGCTAGTGCGCAGCAGCAGCAGAAGAGGAAGGGGTGGCGGTGAAGGTGGAGTGGAGACAATGGGTGGGTGTGTGTGTATGAAGAGGTGGGAGTTGGATATTTGTCGATACAATAGCTGCGGTTTTCGGGTCAACCTGCATGACTGGGCGCACGACTGGTTTTTGCACATATTCTTACGGCGCTCAGGATCTCGAAAAGTCTGGGACTGGCTTTGGGATTCACCGGCTTTGTACACAATGTCGGAGTGTTTTGGACTACAACTTGTACATGTTTGAGCTTCACGAATAATGGTATCCATGACAGTATTCTAGGCCTTCTTGTTCAAAGTGTCAAAGTATTAGCGCCAATGCATCGCTGTCTCAGCGTCGACACGATGCTATTTCGGCATTTGCTCTTGGGAAACAATTGACTTTTGTTCCAGAAGCCAACCGCAAGCACAGGACGACTCTGAATCCTTCTCATAGCGGAAGCGTACAGTCTAGACTTTTGGAGAAGAAGGAGGAAAGTTTGATGATTGCTGTGTCAACTCCTTAAAAGGAGCCTCTCAGTCTGCAGACGAAGACCTTACCAACACTCACCAACCACCTGCGATGGCACCCCGGAGAAAGAAGCAGAAGACCAAGCACGCGCGCGCTGCGGCTGACGCCACTGCACGAAGCATAACCAACCCCGCAAGAGAGCGTCTACCTACCGAGCTACTGTGGCTGATCTTCGAATACCTCAACTTCAATGAGCTGATGCGATGCACACGCGTGTATAGGAAGTGGGCTGCGTGCATACCAGGGGATAATTCGAAGTTGCGGGAGATACTTTTCCTGACAACCAATGTTCCACTATGGAAAGATGAACTGCAAATCCAAGCCCATAACTTCTTTTCAAAAGATCGTGGAGACAGCTTCCACATGACACCCACACTCCCGCTGATCACCACCAAGGTCCCGAGGCTTCAAATCAATCCTTGGTTCGACGAGGATACCAGGTGGAACAAGCTCGTTTATCTGGAGCGGCTTAGACCGAAGCCGACTCCAAGCATTCGCCGTAGAGGTTGCCCTTATGCTTTGGCTTTCTCATCTGTGGAGCAATTACGCCAGATGGCGGCATCTCTTGAGGGCAGCGTCGACGAAGGCTTGTGGACCGATATGCTCGTATGCATTCCGCCAGTGCAAAAGTTGGAACTAAAAGTCGACATCTATCTGAGTAGTTGTTGTGCTATCCTAACACGCACGCTTGCTGACAATCGCGGGATTCGATTTAAGCGCCTGGTTGACTCACTGAGGAGCCTGTTGAAAGAGGTAGCCGAGAATCTCATGATACATAAGGTCACGCTGCGAAACAGAAGAATCATTGAGATCTTCGACTGGTTGGGGGATGGTGAGGATGGAGATGGTACCCTTGTGACTTTTCGGCACACCAAAATTATGGAAACCGAGATTACGAAGGAAGGACATTTACGCAAAGTATGGTAGGGGCTGAGTGAGCGGGCTGAGTGACTGCTCCATAACCTTAGAAATGAACAATCACATATGCGGTTAGTCAAAAGTCCAGAAGTTCGACGTAGTCAGTCAAAGCGATAATTCGTTGTTTCACAATCTTGATGGTCTTTCAGATATCTCTTCGAGCATCTGACTTCGACCACATGGAGAAAGAGCAATTAAGGTCCATCAGCAGAATAACCTGGTGATCACGCGGAATTGTTTCACCAAATATTCTATCGCTCGATCAACGTGACTTTATACGCCGTATAATTTCCGGCCTTCGTATTCCAATCCTCTCAACTCTCAACCCTACTGGTCTTTCCCGAGAGATTGCGTTGCCCCAGATGCCATATAAAATGAAGGAAAATACACATGATCTGACCAGCAACAACAGTCTGAGCATGTCACACAAGCAACCTGACATGCCGACAGATGGCGCCAATCATCATCTTCCAAACGAGATATGGCAGAACATCTTCGGCTTTCTAAATCTGCCTGATCGTAGGTTCACTCCGCGAGTCTGCTCTATCAAATACATCGTGGGTGCTCGGTCTAGATACTCATTACTAACTGCGTGTACAGTTCTTCGTTCCCTCAGAGTGTGCACAGAGTGGCGTGATAACATTCAGAGCACTGATCCAACGCTCCGCGATAAGATGTTTAAGGATCGGGTAGTGCCGCCTAAAGATGAGAGTGGAAGTGGAGAGAAAGCGAACGACAAGACGGAGGAAAATGTGCCTACCGTCACAGTCAATCTACGTGCAGCTGCCGACCTGCTCTGCGTTCCCGGCTCTTTCCCAGAAGCCATGATCAGGTTCGAAGTCGATTTCAACACAGACTACGGTTGTGGTTTCGCCCCTGATGATTGTAACCAACTATCCAACTTTCCCTCTGGCACGAACTTCCATCCAATTCTTCTGAATCTGGATGAGCGTCTGCCTCTCGTCGATAACGTGTTTCAGGCAACCGGTGGAGTGCCACATAAGAACTTCGGCTTCGATTCATTCGATTCTATCGATGACGTATTGGAACGGATGCGAAAACATTCGCGCAGCAAAAACGATGGCTCATGGAAAGACATGTTGCTGTGTGTGCCAGCTCAGCCGCGCATTAACGTCATCTTCGACTATACGTATTACACCCGTGGGCGTCGCAAGTATAAGCTTTACGGAGAGGGTGGATGCGGGGTTACAATGGGTCAGTTTGTGAGGGCTTTCCGCAAACAGCTGACACATATTGAGGAGGACATATGTGGATTTCCTGAGGAAATGTTGGTCTACTGCGGTGAATGCTGGGAGAAGAATCATGAGGATTGAGTGATAACAAGGTAGCATAATGCGGGAGGTAAGAAGATAGAATGAGTTTGGGAAAATGAAGAGACCTTTGGTACCGTTGCTTCACTATCCCAACTGGTCTGCGAAACTGTCTTGATCCATCTGAGTTCGTGACACTGGAACTAATTCAGACGATGAGAATATTTGGCAATATACTTTGATGGTCATGTGGACTTATCTCGGGACACACATGCCACCCGATGAATGTGACCGCCGGCGCAGTATAAAGTCTACCACCCCAGTGTCGCTATCCCTCCTATCATCAATCTCAATCTATTTTCACGGGTTATCGCACCACCGGGGATACCAAACAACATGCAGGGGAATACAAAGGACAGCACCGATAAACCCGATTCAGGCATACTGAATGGTAGCGGGGTCCCAGACGGCCCTCCCAAAATGCCGCGGGATGAAGCTGATTTAGATGACGACAACAATGACAACGAGAACGAAGAGAAGGACGACAACATGGATGATGAGAGTACCGACAGCGACGATGATGACAGTGACATTGCCACAATCACCGTGACTCTGAGAACGAGTATCGAGCTGAAAGGCCTCCCCAACTCTTTCCCGCGGACCGTGATAGTCCTGGAAGTCGACTTCAACGAAGCGTCCACGAACCCCGAACCTATCTTCGAATTCACTCGCGATAACGCCTTCCACGACATTATTGACAACATGGAGCAGTGCATGCACCACGTCGACGAACGCTTATTCGACCCAGTAAAGCTACGGGACACTGGTAAACCACGACCTTGGTTCGAATTCGAATCTTTCCAACATCTGCAAGAGTTGTTGGAAGTCAGCAAGAACGATCCTTTACCCAAGGATAGTGATTGGATAGACCAGCTTCTGTGTACGCCAGGTCTTCAACGCATCGACGTCGTGTTCGCATATAGGGGTTACCATAACACGGGCCGTACGTACAAGATCTTTGCGGAAGACGACCATGGCGTTACTGTAGGTCAATTTGTGAAAGCTTTCCGTGATCAGCTGCAGCACACCGAGGCAGACATACGGAAGTTTTCTGGGGAAGTTTTCCTCATCTGCAACGACTGTTTCGGTAATGCTCTATGAGAGGAATGCGATACCAAAATGCTCGTTCTTGATGAGCTCCTGATCTGATTGTGGCTGGGGACGGCTTTCGTAAGAGCGATCACCTCTGTAGGTGACATCAGAGTTGTCTAGAATAGAATAATATCAGTCAGTAGGTTAGCATGGCGAGTCGAAATAAGCAACGTGATGCACACTCGTCTGTGAACCATACTTCTCTTCGACAAGACGCGATCGATGTATCCACCAATTGTACCTGAATGGCGGAATGAAGATCGAACGTTCAGAAGGCAGGTTCAAAGTAGCCGTGCATTGGGTTCTGCTGTGAGTAGTTGTGCCCATCATGCAGATGAAAGGTGCCCAAGCCAAGCAACCAATGACGTCGCAAAGTCCCCGCAGACCTCCAGCGACGCGCGCACCAAACGATCAACCCTCTACACGCGCAACCGTTCCACAGACTCACTTCTCCCACATTCTCTTTCAATTCCTCTACCAAAACATCAAGAAATATGGCAGCAATATCCCCCGCCCCCGCCTCAACACCCACGCCCACACCCTCAACAGCACCAACGCTCACGTCCCCCAACTTCGTCTTCCCACCACACTACTCCTTCCCCCCCTTCTTCACCCTCCAACCCGTCGCCAGCACGCGCTCCTCCCAACTAGCCTCCTGGTCCACGCTCATCCAATCCTACTGCCGCCACAACCGCATCTTCACCCTCTCCCTCATCGACGCGCTGCCCACCCCGCTCTTCACAAACACCACGCTGCGCCGCAGCCTCTCCCTGCGCGACGCAAAAGCCATTATAACCTACATGGCCTCCCCCGAAGGCGGCAACCGCGCCGAGTTCATCAACACGAGTTCCTCGAAGAAGGCGAAGGCGGGGGAAGAGAGCGAGGGCGGTAAGGCGTGGATATATTGGCGCAGGCCGGAGGAGTGGGCTGCGGCGTTGGAGGAGTGGGTTGAGAGGACGGGGCAGAAGGGTACGGTGCTAACGTTGTATGAGATTGTGGAGGGGGATGCGAGTCGGCGGGAGGAGTTTTTTGGTATGGATTTGGAGTTGTTACAGAGGAGTTTGGGGGTCTGTGTTAAGAGGGGGAGGGCGCAGGTTTTTGGGTCGGGGGGTGAGGGTGAGGGTGTTAAGTTCTTTTGAGAGAGTATTTTGGGTGGGATATGGGTTGGTTGATCTTGGTGGATATGCTTGGAGATGGAGAAGATGGGTGGAGACGAGGTGGATGCGCGCGTTGAATGATACCCAGTCATGTTCTGACTATGGCAATATAGAGTTCACAAAATCGTAGATATGAAAGACATTATACACATGCGACAAAGGCTTGGGCAACATTTAAAGTACTAGTGCTGCCTACATTCTTGCATATTTCTCCTCAGAAAGGCAGTCCCCTACTTCGCATTTGCAGCCGTACGGCCTGTTCAGCTCCAACACTCCAACCTACTCGCCAACAGGCGTCCACATCGCCTCCAACAACCCCTTCTTCGGCTCCCTCCCCTCCAACACAACATCCAGCCATCCATTAATCAACGTCCACTGACTATCATCGCCACACTCTTCAATCGCAATCAACACATCCCTCTTCTTTGCCCCATCCTTCCATTGCACCAACCACTCCGGACACTGTCTGCGCATCTCTTCAACGAAGAAGGTGCGTAGACAGGTGAGCTCGTAGGCTTGAAGCTGTTCGTTGTGGAACTGTACGGCGTCTTTGTCGGCGAGTGCTTCGGGGGTGAGGGGGAGAGGTGGTTGGGGTTGTGTAGTAGTGGATGTGGGTAGGAGACCGTCGAGGAACTGGGGGATTTGACAGGCGTGCCAGGGTGGTACTGTGGTTGTGCATTCCCAGTCTACGATGCCGACTAGACTGCCGGAAGAGGAGACGAGAATGTTGTTCAAGGATATGTCGCCGTTGAACAGTATCGATTCTTCATGTTCGTGCTCCTCCGCTGGTGTTGTGAAGATCTTCGGAATCACCTTTTGGAGTTTGGAATAGATCTCTGACATGCCTTCGGCTTGTTCTTCGTCGTCAGAGTCGTAGCTATCTGAGTCTTCTGCGCGTTGAAGCTTGGTGATGTCGTGCTGCAGGAACGCCATGTGAGCGTCCACGAAGCTGTGGCTGCTTGCGAACCGACCGCGGTAGATGGGCTGCTGGATGTGATCTTCTACGAAGAAAGCTTGTGTGACTGCCTCTCCGACTGTGTAGTGTGTGCTGCGTCCGCTGATGGTAGGCGACCCATTGGAGTGAAGACTGCCTATACCAGAGAGCTTTAAATGATATAGCTGAACCATGAAGGCTACTATTTGCTGGACCAGAAGCTCTTTGTGAAGCCAGGACATCTCATGCCATACTTCTCGGAGTGGACGGCCAGGCATACGCTCCATAAGTATCCATTCAAAGCCCAGAGAATCTTCAAAATTCTCGCTGTGTGCAACAATCTCGGGGACTGGAATGTTGGTCTTCTGGCCGAGGAAGCCTAAAGTAGCGACCTCGCTACTGGTCTTGACTTTTGGTGCTACAGGTAGCGTGACACGAAAGACGAATTGGCCTTTGGAGCAGGAGATCTCGTATAGTTTGTTGAAGGCGCCTTCGGCGAAGGGCTTCAGTTCAATAAGCTCATCTTGTGGCAACTCTAAATGTTTTCGCGCCAGCTCTGTGGCCTTGTCAATGGAGGGCTCTTTGGTCCATGTTGGTCTCGCGCCGAAGAGACCTGGCTTCCAGTATAGGCCTGGTTGTTCAATATTTCGAGGTACAGTTGGCGTTGAATCCATGATAATGGGCTGCTGAGGTTGGTGACCGTGGTGTGGTGTCGATGTTAGGAGGGTAGAAGTGAGGAGGCGTAGTTACAAGCAAACAAAGACAGTGCTGATCGCTTTCACCTGCTTCGTTTGCGCACGGCGAATCAGCGACAAGCTCTTCAGGGCATTGAAAGTGAATACACACAGTGGCGCTGAATATTCACGATGCGCTGATGTCAAATGTCAGCGCGAATAGAGTATCCCATGTACCTTCACACTGCCAGACAGATATCAAGACCTGCAGAAATGGAGCAGGCACATCTTATCGAGCACACTCTCCACCGCAACCTCAAGACAATACAACCATAGACCCATAGAATCCATCCTACAAGTAAGCATCAATATGGGTAAGAAGTTCCGCAAAGCTCTCCTCGCCTTCATCGACGGCATCCCGGACAATAAGCTCGAGGGCGGTTTACCATCTATCCAGAAGACCATCTACGAGGACGAAAACTACAGACTGGACATGCAGAATGTAAGTAATGTTTTTGCACCATCGTCTTCGTCACCCATACTGATCTTAATACGTAGTTAACGACCGGTCCGCCCAAGTGCTATAACATCCAAGTTCAGGTAAACAGGCATGCCCTGTTCACCTCGGCGCGTAAGGCAGGTCAGAAGGGAGCCACCGTAGGTAAAGTTTTAGTGCCCGTTGAAGAGCCGTGGACTGCGTGGGCGATCAAAGAGACGCTCAAGCAGAGCTGCATTGACTTTGGTGATCAATCGAATCAATTCTAGGCGGCTTGGGTGCTTGCGTAAGTTGGTATACCTCGGCGAGTGTTCACGGCGATATTGTTTTCCGACATGGATAGGCGTTTTATACCCGGAAAGGTGTTGATGTTGCACAAGACTAAAAACGATTAGCGACGTCTTGAGCAACGAGTATAGTAGTCCAAGATAGACTTCAATCCGGAAGTCAGGTTTGCCTGAGTCGCATTGACCACATCCCCGCAAGACGTAAAGTTAAAACAAGCAGTGTCAGATGCTCCGTGCCTGAGAACTGTGGACGTGATGACGCCGCAAAAGCTTGCATAGTGACTGAGGACAAGGAGTCCATGGTGACTGATGCTCTGAATGCTGGGGAAAGTCTTGGGACGTGGCTGATTGACGGTGGAGAGGATGGCTGGACGCTTGGATCTTGATAGCGCAGATCACAGAGAGTTTTTAGAGATGATCCCAATAACGAAACAGATTGATCTTCGACCCTGGAGTCAAAGAAGGCTGGGGACCAAGTTGGACAGGTAGTGCATGTAATGGTGATGCGGCGTAAGTGCAGCGTGACACAGACGTCAGTCATCGGTAGTGGTCCTCTGCGGCGTACTAGGTGTGATAGTGACGCAACACATGCTAGGGAACTCGAATCCACCGTAGATGTGGTGGATATGGCTGGTGATGCAGATCAGGGCGGATCGTCGCAGGCTCAGAGTAAACAATGGTTCTGGTTGAGGGAGCGGGCCGTTAGCTAGTCTGCAGTAGGAAAGGGCCGAGGGTCAACGGGCGCTGCAGCAAGCTACGCAGCGCGCACAGTAAACAGAACGATGGACGCCGCTAAGGACGAGGCTGGAGGCTCCGCAAGCCCCATGCGCCGTTCGAACAGCGCATGGCCACGTCGCATAGGCGTCCACAATTGCGGGGAGCGTCGTGAGACGAAGCGACGTGGTTGTGCTGAGGGCGGACGGTCTCAGGCACAGGCTCGACGTTATGCGCTGCAACACAACAATGCCATCCGCAGCGGACCGGTCGCGCGGTGGACAGCAGTATTTGTATATTGAAACAGCGGACTAATCCAGCAGGTCGGTTCAACTGTTAGTGTGTGCAGGCAGACGCTATGCCGCATGCGTCGTGCTGCATTGTGCTGCAGATGGCTGCGGGTCAGCATGGAGCGCTGCGGGCTGCCGTCGAGAGAGGTTGCACACGGCGGGCATGCGGTGGGTCGTTGTCGAGGTCGTATAAACGGCCGTCTTATACCTAATCACTCGACCAGCTGGAGTCGCAGTCCATCGCCAGGCACCTGAGACGAAAAGCATCGGAGGATAATTTTAGGCCAGGTACATCTCATTTCCCCTCGGCAGGGTCAGCCCAATCACCGCGCGCAGAAAGAACGACCGGACCCCTGATCCCTGACGCCGAAGCAGGAGCTAGCCGACGCGGTAGCCTCGCTGTTCGTGCGTGTTGACCATCCCCCAAGGCTCAAGCGTGCCTTCCTCTCTCCACTGTAGAGGCCCATCGCAGCTTCCCTACCCAGTACGCTCTTTCTGCCACTGCGAGCCAGGCCCTCTCCTTCCCTTCTTAGACCGGCACCCCACCGATACGGTCTCTATTTTCTAATACTCTTGCATCGCCATCTCGACACCTACATAGATATACCCCATCCCCGAGGCCTATCTACATGTCGCGAATGGACTCGTGAAGCTGCGCGTCTCCTACTGGCCCGCCATCGTCGATTACCCTACTCCACCACGGCCACTTCCTAGGATTGGATCTATCGACAAGCCATACAGCTTCTACGCGTACAGATATACTCAGCATGCGCCCGTGCCAGTGCTGCGACCATGTTGGCGCTATGATTCTCTCCGAACCTTATCGTCGCCCAACTACTACCTCCTGTTCCCAAAAGCAATCCCGCTCTGGAATAAAAAGGGCTGCCGTCTTCGCTGTCGTCGCCGCATCGATACCGTCCGCAATGGCTCAACGGAGTTGCGTGTCGCTTCAGGGCTCAACCGCCTGCCCGGCCTTTTCCTCCGCCTCTGTCGACACCAATTTGACCGCGAACTTGTACGTCAAATGTGTTTTGATAGACAGAGTGATAGCTAACAGTGAACGCGCATAGTCCATTTCTCCAATACGTTTCAGACACCCAGTCGTTCGACGAGGGCTTGAAGAATTACATTGGTACCGGATATGCACAGCGACAGTCAGTCTAGTTCAAGTCGTACCACGCGACTGTTCATATGTACCAGAAAAACTAACGCATCCCAGGTACGAGAATATATTGGGATGCTCAAGCGTCAACCTTACTAGCACTACCAACCTCTATGCTCGTTACACAACGACTGTCCTTTGTAACGCCATCATCCAATCCTCCAAGAACAGCTGCGGACTCGGCGACACGGAAGCGACACCGCTTTGTGCTGGTGCCTGCGTATGTAGACCGCCTTTGTCGTCCTTTCTCGCGTCGAAATGCTGACCATCTCAGGCCGACTTTGCCATCAGCGAACAGGTCATCGTATCAAGCCCGGATCTGTGCGGCACACCTGGTAACAATGCAGTCCCGGAAATCCGCTCTGACTTCGCCCGCTGCTCCAACCCTGCCAACTCTCTCAGCAGCAGCTGTATCGACGCGACCGAAAACGAGCCCAGCGAATGTGGATACAATGGCAACCTCCAAGGACTCTGCCTCTTCTGTTCCACTAGCACCGTCAACTCTACAGACTCTTGCTGCGTCAACGCAAACGTCGAATCGCGCTGCGTAGGCATTGACCTGCCTACAACCGTCTCGATGCCTCCAGTGTTCCCCTCAAGCACTTCGTCCTCTTCCCCAAGCTCCACAGCCGGCGCCGGATCTGGTGGAGGTGATTCTGGTCTTTCTGGAGGCGCCATCGCTGGTATCGTCATTGGATCACTCGTCGGCGCTGCGGTAATCATCGCAGCCGCCATCTTCTGCTGCATGCGCATGCGGCACAAGAAGAACAGCCAGGCTGGAAGCGTCTTCAACACACCATCGCCATCGCGACGCCACTCTCCCAAGGGGCCCATGCCACCTATGAGCTACGGAGGCGACGGCCAATCTCCCGCTACCATTCTCCCCGGTGCCCGTGTTCAGCGTATGTCGGCTTTGGAAGGATCAGAGTCCTCGGGCCAGAACAGCGATCGAGGCGGCCGTATGACCGCATACGGTGGTTCACAACTTGGTGCCTTTGATTCACCCGAGTCGATACGTGGCCATCTCGCCGGTAACCTCCCTAAACGACAAGGTTCTCTATCCAGCCACTCTGCTCTCGGAGCGAGCTCTTCACCACTCTCTGGATCTGACCAGACGCGCAACTTCTCCAGCCCGGATGGTGTCGCTTCCGGCCAGTCCGAGCAGCTACAGTTCTTCAAAGACTACTATTCCCAGGACGATATCCACCCGAACGACACCGTCGCCACTCTCTGGGCCTACCAACCTCGTGCCGGCGACGAGTTCGAGCTAGAAAGAGGAGATATGCTCAAGGTGGTAGGCATCTGGGATGACGGCTGGGCGACAGGTGTAAGACTTTCCGAATCGGCAGAGCAGTGGGAAGCCCGGAAAGCCGAGCAGCGCGACTCGGGCGTAAGCAACGGCGGCCGACGATCACCCGTCGAATCCGACAGCGAGATCAAGGCTTTCCCCTTGGTCTGCGTGTGCTTGCCACAACACTGGAGGAAGACGATTGAAGGCGACAGCACAGACTCTGGCGGGCATGGCAGTGGAGGTGACCGGATACCTCCAAGCCCCTAAGATGTCCTTGCGTGCCTGGGTCTGTTAACGCTCCCTAGTTGCTCCCTTGTCATCTCCAACCTCAGAACGCCCACCACGTTACGCGCGGTATGGAAAGGGCAAAAGTCGAGTCGCATCCGCAGCACCACCCAATTCGCTAACACGGCCACTACTCTCGAGCACACCAGACGTCCACTCCCTGGGGTCTAGTACACTTATCGGCTCCGACCCTGTCTCCAAATAGTAATGTCGCCACGATGATGTTTGATTTACGCGTTGCTCTTCCCGTTTTTGCGATACACCTTCGATTCTTGGTCCTACCACCACACCCCCCGATCATCGGCCGTCGTTCTACCCCTCCAGGGGTCCCTTTGAACCCCTCGAACACGCCACGGCCGCTGGACCACTTACACCTCTGCTTTGTCACGATCAGCGCGAACCATAGACTGCCTTCGGGTCTAGTGTCTAATACGCTCCTTAACCGTCCCCTGTCGCGCAAGCAAGCCTTTGCTTTGCGCAACAAAAATACAACCTTCTTCGACGTTCTCCCCCAGTAAAATCACGCCAAACTCCCATCTACTTCGGTACATACGACCCTGACCTACCTACCCACCCACCCACCCACCGCGGCTGATTGACGTTTGTTCTATACCCCGCCGCATATCCCATGCGGCGCAACCTTTCCTTTCTTGCTGTTGATTGTTTTCTGTGGAGAGTGAGTGAGTTGAGAGCGCTGGAAGCGATATTGTATATATGACTCCTTGCTTCCGGGGCCAACTCTCGAGGACAAAGGGTTAATGCTTTATCTTGATTATCATTTCTACGATATCCCGCCTGTTGGGTAGGGGAGAGAGAGAGCGAGGGTGTGGTTTGTGGTTGTTTAGTGAATGGTGGCTTTTGCTGTTTTGGATGCTGAGGAGAGAGAGAGGAGATGGTGGTTGGATGGTGGGTTGCTTGCGTTTTGGATAGCTAGGTTTGGCAATGGGAAATACCGGAATATTTGACATGTTGTCTTTTCGGGTAGTGAATGCTTTGTGCTACGAATTCCGGTGAGATCGTCACTTTGCCCAGTCCGGTTGACCCAACGACCTCATTTCTAGAACATCAGCACCGAAGTAAAACCATATCCGCCATTCTACCCATGTCTCAAACCCCCATCCACCAGCCCTCGTCCATCACTTTCCCCTTTCCCCAAACCCTGGCTACCGGCACCTCCCCAAATCCTTACGCCATCTCGAAACACGCAACCGTGGTCACTTATAGCCAAGCATACACCTAT